AAAAAAAAAAAAAAAAAAAAAAAAAAAGTTCATCTACCTGGTGCTGCAAAGAACACAATCCACAGCCCTCAACCGATCATGCCTAGTTCGCGGATACATCCGATTAGTGTACGTTCTAAACTTCCGAAATATGTCCTCCATGGTCTCGGCGAAGAGATTGAATCTCCGGAGTCGAGAAAGCCACCGTAAAGAAGAACTGCGACATCGCTAATGAATCTTAGAATCACCGACAAAGTTCAAAAGAAATCTGTAGAAATAGGAAATGAGACTGGATTTTGAGGCTTCTCTATAGAAAATTGGAGGAGAGAGAAAGAGATGAGAGGGAGAGGAATACTGGAGAGGTTGCAGACTGGAGTTGAAGCATGGTGGAAACTTTTAAATAAATATTTTTAGTTATATATTTTTCAATTATATACAAAAATCATTTTTAAATTTTAATTTCTTTTTTGTCTGTTAACTTTTTCGGAGGTTGAAAAAGTTGAATATTTAGATATAAAAATTTTAAAAAATGAGTTTTATTATATTTAAAATTTTAAAAATTAAAAAATTTAAGGCACTAGGTTATATACGTGTCAAGATATGGTTCCTGTTTGATGAAATAAGGTGCATTGTGGCGGGTGATTTTAGCGCTGAAGTAAGCCTTCTTGTTGCCGAAACAACAGCTCCCACTTTCTCTCTTCGCAACTCGAAACTCGAATCCGAACTTTTCTCCTCAACCTGTAATCGATCACTGCGTTTGAGAAATGGCGTTGGCTAGTCGCTTGAGATCCACCATCCCCGTCCTCAACAAGTTTTTGAGATTTGAATCGTCCTGCACTCCGGTACTGGTACACCTACCACTCCTCGCTTATTTATCTTCTCAGTCGCTCATAGTTATTTCCGGTTTTGGATTGTGAATATGCTTATCCTTGGGGTTTTTTGTTTTGGCCTCATCGATGTCGGATTTGTGGCGAAATGTGGAGGTCTTGAATTCTATATTGTTGATTTAGGATTTTATGAATTTATTATCTATTTGGTCGCCTGGAAAAGAGAATCATGATCGGGACGAGATAATGCTGATTATCTGAGCTTGTGCACTGTACATGTTGAATTCGCTTGATTTGGAACACATAGGGAATAGGTTTTTTGGTTACTTCTAGTGACAGGTTAGGATAGACGTGGAAGTTGTATAAACTGGTAAAATTAGGGAATAATGTTTTGGCTGGTGTTGCATTCTTAGCAAATAGGAAATGTCAGTTTTTTTTTCCATGTTTAATCGAGGACTAAACAAATTTCATGAGGTATTTGCAGATTCTATTATCAGTTTTCCTTCTGAATCGGTTAATGCTGGTGTAAATAAAGCTGGTTTCTTGACCGTTTCTCTGATTTTGTATTGAGTATGGTTTATCACTTCAATAACGTGCTTATCAACTGGCTGCAGCTCGCAAGGACTTATGCCGCTACATCAGGGAAACATGAACGAAAAGTGAAGGTAGGTGAACGATTACTTTGATTTCCTCATTATATTTTGTTTTCCCGAATATATTTTCAGAATTACTATTAGATATCCTCTTTTGAACTCATAGTGCATGCGTCAGATATGTTTCTTTCTGGAATTCATTGAACTTTTTTTTTTACAAGCGTGCTTTCTCATTTGCCGCATTTCAGGTGCCTCTTGCTTTGTTTGGAGGGTCTGGAAACTATGCCTCTGCTTTGTATATAGCTGCAGTAAAAGCTAATTCACTAGACAAGGTGGAGTCTGAGCTTTTTAACCTCGTTGAGGCTATTAAGAAAAGTCCTACATTTTCTCAGTTCACTATGGACCTGTCAGTTCCAGCGGAGACTAGAGTTAAAGCTATCAATGAAATTTCTGCTGAAGCAAAATTTTCAGACGTTGTTAAGAACTTTTTGGGTAGGATTGTTTACACTTTTTTAGTAGTTGTGCGGATGAAAAATGTATTTTTCTTTTGGTCTTTGATATCAGTTATTACAATGCCTCCGTCTCACAATTGGGTCCACATCATGCTGAACAATCTGTCTGTTAATGTGTATTTCTTTTTCTATGCTAATTGTAAAATCTTAATTGCATCATTTCATATCCTATATAGATTTGGCTTGAGAGGTTTGAGGATTTTTGCCTTTCATGATTGAAGAAGTGAGTTTTATTCTATAGGATTTTTGAGATGGTTGATTCTGTTTTTTTTGTTCCCTTGACTCAAGAAGTTACATTTTGTTCTAATGGCTGAAGTTCTCATGCCTTGCAATCATTGATAATGGCAATTAAAATGCATCAATTACAGGCTTGCATGCATTCTCTTACCTGGAATTATTCTGATTATTTATTGTAGTTGTGTTAGCTGAGAATGGGAGGCTGAGATATATAGATAGCATAGCAAAGAGATTTTTGGAGTT